TCTCGTGATTCTTGAGTTTCTCGGAAAAGGTTCGTTTTCAAGATCCTTATCATTGAGCCAACATTTAATATGAACTCATTCTTGAAAGAACTTGTTTTACACTGATATAACAAGGGAAAGTGTTGTTCTTAGCAAAGATCGCAAAGGTAAGGTTACTTTGTCATTGTTACGCTTAAAAAAGGAGTACAATTTTACGATAACTTGTCACATTTTCAGTGATTCGTTTCCCGAGAACTTGAGCGGGACTGCACTCTCACAGCCGTTGTGGTTTCAAGTGGTTTGCAGTTTGCCGAACAATTCATACAGATGTGTTCTCGGTCTTCAGCAACATTTTATGAGAAGTTATTTCACGTAGGTATGAAAAATAAATATCTTGATTTAGCAATTTTTAAAATAGCAGATTGCCTCCTCGCTCCACTTACTTCCGTGGCAACGACGCCGTGCAAGGAATGGCTTTCAGAAAGACTGAAGACTTCAGTCCAAAGCCTTTGTAATATCAAGCTAGTTTTGTAATATTATGACTTTTTGCGTTCGAGGTACCAGAACGCAACCCCTAATTTGTGTTAGTGTTCTGTAATAAAGGATTAAATTAACTGTAAAAACCGTGGATGAAAATCCTGCCAATTGTAAACGTTGGATCTCTAGAAAAGAGATCAAATCAGCCAAAATATAAAGAACCAAGAACGCGAAACGAAAGACTACTGCAAAGCTGATTTAAAACAACGCGTATTGTTTTTTATATAACAATATTTCGGCTGGCTAGTGTTCTGTGCATTATTGAGTGTCCTGTGCAATTAATAAGGGAGGTTTTTTTAGAGATTGCATTTGTGTCGACACACTTTTACCTCGTTTTGAGGCGACTGCTTATGTCTTGCTTCACTTTGACGCGCTATCTCACGTGGTGATTCACGTGTCCTCGGCGTTCATCTTCCAAACGTTTGCTGTGGTCTGCTATTTGTCTTCGTAAAGTGTACATATTTCAAGGGTTTGCTGTAGGTCTACTATCGATCTTTGTTTGTTGAATCTTCCAAAGCGTTCAACACCCCGGGTAAAATTTTACTTTGGATTAAGCCTTTATATTTTTCAGCATGGTTCGTGGAAAATAAAAAATAAATAAATTGATAAATACACACAACACACACCATGTGGCTAACATTAAAGACAGTCGCTTTCGCATCACTTCACCGCGCACGTTTGCGAAGTTGGGAAATTGGGTACTACGGTACGAAGTAGCCAATACAGAATCAACTTGCGAACTTCAAAACGTAGTTGTCAACTTTGGCGCGACTTAACTTCGAAACTTCTTATCTTTATTTGAAATCGGGGGGGGGGGGGTTGGGGGGGGGGGGGGTACTCCCTTATATAAGCCATATAGGTATGTGCCGCCCTAAAGGGTAAGGTTTTTGGGCCGTTTTGGTGTGAAAACGAGTGTAGACTTTTGGTCTGGAATCGGGTATAGTTTATAAGGGAACTATGGGAGTGTACGAACCTATTTATCGTTTCAATTCCAAATGAGTTTAGAAAGAAAGAAAGAGAAAAATGCGAATTCGAGATGGCATTAAAACATCTTTTTTGTTGCTGTTCTAATCTAAGCAATAATTACATAATTACTTAAATGCCAGGTTAAAAACGGGTATAGATTTTACAGGCCAGGTCTGAAAACGGATGTGAAAAATGACATTATTTGGTCTGAAATACGGTCAGGATTTGGAGAATCGGGTGGCACACCCCACCAAGAATTCCCAGGAGTACCCCCCCGGGCTTTGAAAGCAGGAAACTATCTGCAAAGTGGTGAAACCGAATCCTTTTACTAAACAGGGCAAGGCGTCGCCGTGTGAGGTCCGTGACATGATAATTTGAAAAATGTTTAGAGGGTTCGAAACCATTCAGAAATCAAAATAGCGCAGCAGTTTAATTACCGAGAAAGACAGTGAAAAATATTGTCGATCCGCTTCATACGTACAGGGAGCGCTCAGCCTGGAGTTGGTGGGAACAGAGGAACCGCAAGGACAGACGATGTTATATTGTAGATTTCTTAAGAGTTGGTTTATACGCAAGAACTCGGAATTTACAGAACATTACACTGAATTCGAAGTGGCAATTTACAGTGCCTAGAGCAGAATAAATCCGTTCATGTCAAGGAATTTCTTCAAGCACTGTGGCTATAACGACTGATAAATTTGCGAACTTCCGAGCGATTTAGGTTGTAAATTTTGAGTTTTCATTTGTTTGTCAAGAAATAATTCGAGTATTCTATCCAGTTGCCTGTAGTTGTTTTCTCAACGGAGTTGCTAATAAATCAGTTCAGTTTGCCGTTCCCAGTTTATAGCAGACTCTTACCCAGTCGCTATTTAAGTGTTTTTTTGCAAAAATTTACAAAAAAAATGCTCTTCCCACATCCTTGAATTATTACCGGTTAACTGCTATGCAACGGTTCTACTTATTCTTGACTTTGAAGTTTAGGTGTTTATTTACAGCCTGTCTGCACAGATTTTGATCACAGGTACCCCAAGCCCGCAAGTGGGAATCGTTAGAGGTTATATATAAGGAAGAACGGCAGTACTATAGAGGATAGCGGTTCTGTTACACCCTGTTCCGGGGCCCCGCCCCGAGCAGCATCGCGTTGCTCGGCAGCTCGGGCCGGGCGCCGCCGGGGCAGGGTGCAGACAGAACCGCTATCTTCAGTACTACCCTCGTGAACCGGCATTGTGGACAGCAGTAAAAAAATCAAAACAAGCAGCGATCCGAGTGTAAACCGGTCGAAACGGGAACCCTTTAAGAGGAGCGCAGGCAGATACTGTTTCGGCAACCACAGCGAAGCGCCTGTCACAAAGACGCTACTTCGCAGAAACCCCGCACGCTTGAAAGGCAACCTAAAAAAATCAAAACAAACAGCGACCCAAGTGTCACAGAATTTTTACTTCGAACTGTTGCTTACAAAAAGTCGACTCGGTTTGTCTGCACACACAGAAGCGGATTCACCCAGTCAGGGGGCAGTCAGGCCTGTGAAATTCATGTTGGAATGAAGGGGTTTTTCCCGTTTTTTATTCGATCAGATTATTACACAAAAGTTGTCCACATTTGCGAAAAAAAATTGGGAAAAAGTTGTGAGTTTGTGAAAAAGTTTGTGAGTGGATCTTTACGTAATCGGGAAACCCCCGGCGCATCATTAATATGCTTTTTAAGGAATGTTCCGCTTCAGAGCATAGTTGTGTTAAAAACCTAATTTTAAAAACGTGCCATGAGAATAACTACCAAATTGTGGAAAAACTCACAATTTCTTTTTTAAAGATTTTTTTCCTGTAATTTTACCTAATTTTATAAACGTACCGTGAGAATAACCACCAAATTGTGGAATGAGTTTGAATAAAATTTTTTGAACAGTTTTTCAAAATGTTAGCCCGGCCAATGTCGCCTTCCCATAAGTATATAGCAGCAAATATACACCTATTTCAATTACGATTGCTCCCATGAAACATGATGCATGATCCATGTTTCAAAGTCTGTGGTGCACTACGGTAGACCCTTTTGTAGCGGGAAGTTCAGCGCTGTTCACATTGATTAGAAGAATGGAGACCATTTAAAACTGAAATTTGTTTGAAAGTGTTAATAAACAGTGAGAAAGGCGTTTAAGAGAGCTTTCAATTCGACCACTCGGTTGCTACACTTACTACAGCTACTACAGCTATTACACTTACGACAGATACTACTGAGCATTATCGAGAGCATTATCGCGAGTGCCGAAGGCACGAACCTTGTAGGGGGGTCTGGGGGTATCCTCCCCCAGAAAATTTTCAAATTTGGAATTTTTAGCACTTGTCATGAGATATATCTCCTAAAAATCGACCTCGAATGTGAAAATGGAAAACAATTGCAAGTCACTATAATCAAAATTACTGAGTCTAAAGAAAACAAATCCATCCAGACTTAATGAGTCTGGCTCAACAGGTCCGGGGAGGGCAGGTGCCCCCTTGTTCCCCTGCTAGCTTCAGCTCTGCTTTTTTTTATTGTTTTTGCGGTAACAAGTCGGAGGAAACCTTGCCGGGGAAATTTTGACATCATCTTTTTCAATAATTTCAGTCTTTATGGACGATACATCACTGCTATCAAACTGCAGCGTCGACTTAATTGTGCCTGAAGTTTCCTCACAGTCTGAACCAACTCCTCCGGCATTCTTCTTACTCTTCGAAATCAAAATATTTAATTGTTCCGCTTGTTTTTCGGAAATTAGCTTCAGTATAAGATGGCTGGTAACATTATTGACCTCTAAAACTTGCTTTTTAAGGTGAGTAGAATAAGTCGAATAACTATTCAATTTCCCGTTAAAATATATATTCCATAAACCGTCTAGTTCAGACATCGGGATGAGCTTCCAACAATTCCACTAAACTTGCAAACTTGTGAAGTTTAGTCGCGCCACAGTTGACAACTACGTTTCGAAGTTCGCAATTTGATTGTCTTACTTGCTACGTAATAGGCTACTTTCAAAACGAAGTACCCAATTTCCCAACGAACTACGCAACGCGGCAGGGGTAAAGTAATATGAAATCGTCTATAAATTGCCTAGCTCTTGAATGCTGATTCCAACATTGTTTCCACCCGAAACTGAAAATGCTGGCAGTATGTTTCATATTACGTTTTTTACCTTCTCTGTACTCCTACAAAAACGTTGAGAATTTCTATTAACATTCAGAAAGAATGCTTAAAAGTATGGACAATTACTACAAACTAAATAAATGAAAATAAATATATAAAACCACAGTCACGTGCCGAGGAGGTGTCTGAACAATTTCTGCACACATTCAAAACTGAGTTAAAGCGGTATTCCGTAACTCCCTATGAGTTATAAGACCTAGCTGTAACGATTTAAAGTATGTTTCAATTTGTTTCGAAAACAAACTAATTAAGTCCAGTCCAATAATCAACCTCCTAGGCCTATCGTTTATGTCTTCTTTTTTGTTCATTAAAAAAATAACGCTTTATTTTACCACCTGTCTTTCAGATGAATTATGAAGCGATTTTACTCAGTTGAAGATTGATTTTGTCTTGCATAATGAGTAAGTAGTATAGTGATTTGTGTTCAATATCTGTCCAAAAAGTTTTACAAATGCTTCGGATCGAGACCCACCAAACCATGAGCAAAGTTCGTGATACACCAATCATCAACAACCACGATGGGCTTATTCACGCGCATATCTACGCATACTGTATGAAAACACAAAAGGCTAGTTCCCCTGGGACCTCTATTGGGTAAACAAAACGTACAAGCTAAAGAGGTCTATTCCATTCCATAACCTTCTACATCATCCGTTCCCATCACCCCTCCTATTTCATTCCATACTTTTCTTAAGCATCTCATCCTCTCCCATCCCATCTGATCCCTGTCTGTCTCATCCCGTTTATTTAATCTTATTCCATCTCATCCCAATGCACCCCAACCCGAGCTACAACCTATTTCATCCCATCTTATCATTATCATCATTATCATCATCATCATCGTCATCATTATCATCACCATCATCATTATTCTCGTCCTCATAATTGAACGATGCTTTCTTTGACCAAAGATGTCATCTCTGGAAAGCTATAAGTGAATTAAGCATTCAATATGATTGGTGTAAGAGGATAAGGATAGGAGACCATGGGAGAAGTGGTTTGAGCCTGTGGTAAAAACATTTCAAGTAATTATAGTGAGTCAGAAACTCTATTTTATCATTCTAGCCTAAAAGCCGGGACATTTATTTATAGTTACTTATGAAGCTTTTTCCCCAGGTTTTAATCTGATTCAGCAGTTGAAAATAGCGTTGGAGCAGTACCCAGATGATGGACAGATTCTGAAGGTGAGGCAAAGGTTATTAAAATATTCTAATGTCAACTCATTAGCGCCAGCCTGATATATGAAATATTACTCAACATATCAATCGTGCCTCCTTCCAAAGAGGTTGAATTGTGAAACATTTGGTAGCAGACCACTTTCAAGTCTTGATGACGTATCGCCCCGGGCCCGGTTGTTCAAATGTTACATAGCGCTTTCAACCGAATAAATTCATGCAACGGATAAGTATTAGGAAAACCAAATGCACTATCCAGTGGATAGAGATTTATCCGGTGGATAGCGGTATCAACCCTTTGAACAACTGGGCCAGATGTTAGATAATTTATAGCGGGGGCGCATTGGCCTCTTGTGCAATAAAAATGTATCAGGCCTTTGTTTCTTTTCCCTATTCTCAAAATAAATAAATAAATAAAAACGCTTGATGGCACTCTATAAAGGTATATAGAGGATAATAATACATGGCCGCGCGGAGATACAAAATTTATCTTCGAGTGTTGAAAAATATTTCACGAGTGGGCACAGCGAACGAGTGAAACATTTTTTCAACACTAGAAGAGAAATTTCGTATCTCCAAGCGGCCATGTAATGCTCTATTTATTATATAAACACAGGAGCTATCTATTAAGTAGCCATAGCAATGGTGATATTTTCACACGTGAAGATATCAAGTTTTCGTGCGAAAGCTCACCTGGTATTTCATTGGTGTTTATATAATAATTAAAAATATGTAATGAATACTTAGTTGGGTTTATTTGTATCAGGAGCTCATTCAAAATGCAGAAGATGCTGGTGCAAGTCAAGTTAAATTTCTTCATGACCGTCACAGCTATGGAAAAGAAAAACTACACAGCAAGGAACTCGCTAAGTTTCAGGTCAGCCTACACTGCTAACACCTATCTACTTATTTATCAGTTGGTATTAATCTGCAACAGTTTTTAAGAACCCTGGCCCAATTTTACAACTTTATTTAAGACCCAACGACGTCATATCGGAGAAAACTACTAAGGGAAAAGAAAAATTCAAAAAAATGTTTTTGAGTGCAGTTTATGTGCTTATTTCACGACTAAATAAGCGAAAATGTGTTACTCACGACTACCCGCGAGTAGCTTCAAGGAGGAAGCTTTGTTATGGGAAGAAAAAACAGCTCGATCCGTGTATTTTTCGAAGAAATGGAAGTTATTTGGTCAAAGTGTAGGTTCCGAATGGCGTTTGCAAGCAAAATATCATTCCTTTTGCGTTTTAAGTATCTACTGCTTGAAAACATGGTGCAGCAATACTTACAACTCTATTGCTCTCTCAATTACAAAACTGTAGCTCTTTTTAAATCAGCTATCTAACTGTAAACGCAATATTCTTAACAGGGACCCGCACTTTATGCTTACAATAACGCCGAGTTTAAGCACAGTGACTGGGAAGGTATCAGAATGTTTTTTGAGAGCGAAAAGGTCAAAGATCTAGTACAAAAGGATTGTTTTGGTCTGGGGTTCAAGTCGGTGTTCCATGTTACAGGTAAGAACACGCGTTCACTGAGGCGGTTATTTATTTCTTTCTCTTAACCGCAAAATTAGCCACCAAAAGACCCTAAAAAACGGGCATTAACTTCAATTTATACACCAATACATTCTAAAACGGAAAAGTCAGAAGCTATAATTTAAGAATAATGCAAGAATATGTTTAGCCTAAAGTCGGCAGACCAATAAGAATATTCAGCCTGGGCAGGAAAAACAACATTCTCTTTAAAAGAAAGAGTGTACTACCTTTTCTCAATACACTACAAGTGTAGTTCATCCAATGTGAATGACAACAGCGTGTAACATTAAAATAGGTTCACTTTGTTAATGTTATGCTTGCTCAAGTAACAATACTTCATCTCTAGTTGATTCTCATATCGCATTCTTACTTAACCACAGATCTACCAAGTATCATGAGCACCTCGCAGATCGGCATAATTGATCCACACGAGAAATGCTTTGAAGAAGGAGGTACAGGATACAGCTGGGACGTAAGAGATGACAGTGATATCATGAACGCCATACCAGACCAGTTTGCTCCTTACAGGGGAGTATTTGACGGCCCAGAGGACATTTTCACCACCGGCTCATACAACGGTACTCTTTTCCGCTTTCCACTACGAACTGAGCCGTCCAAGTTATCAGAGACTTTGTATTCTGCCGAAAAGATTAACGATTTGTTCAATAGCTTCATGGCTGATGCCCACTTGGTTCTACTGTTTATGCAGCATCTTGAAAGTATTGAACTGTATGCTCGTGAAGAGTTGGAAAGGGAACCCAGAAGAATGTTTCAAGTCAGAGTATCCGAAGAAAGCCTTCCGTTGGTAAGAGAAAAGAGAAAGGAGTTTCAAGAAACAGTCCCTAGCGGTCAGCTTTTACCCCACTCAGTCCACGTCACTTATCCAATTACGATTGAGACAGTACAATATCACCAAGGGGAAGAAGCAGGCAAATACAGTCATTCGTACCTTGTAACCAATTACGTTTGTGGCGGAGATTTATCGTCTGAATTTCAAAAGCTTGTTGTGGATCCAAGTCTCAGCTACCTACCAAAAGTTGGCGTTGCCATGGCATTGCCCTCAAGTCCCCAGGATTCCGTCCCAGAAATTCAAGGTCACGTGTTTTGTGTCTTACCGTTACCGGTGCAGAAGACCAGTTTGACAGGTTTGCCGGTTCATGTGAATGGCTTCTTTGCCCTGACTCAGAATAGAGGTCAAATCAAGTTTCCAACCGCAGGACAGGAAGGTCAACCTTTAACTGACAAATCCTTAAAATGGAATCAGTGTCTTTTAGAGGAGGCCATACCCCAAGCCTATGCCACGATGATTTTAGAAGCCATCAACGCCAAGAGCTTCAAAGTGCAGGCAGCGACCGTTTACCAGTAAGTGATAACTGTAAGAAACTGTAAAGCCAGGTGTCAATTTAATAAAACTTTCACAAGTGTAATTTTCAAGTGGAGCTATTGTTTTGAAGTCTGAAGACAATAGTACACTTGTGAATGACGCTTGTAAAAATTTTATTAAATTGACTTAATTTAGTAAATCTCATCTATGAAACAGAATTCTACTTCAGTTGGAAAACCAATAGCTGCCTTACCTCTAAGAAGCACTACAGCTAAGGCTTTCATATTATCGCTGCAATCGTTAAAAAAGACTAGCTATTTTAACGATTAATTGTCGAAGAGTTTTGTCCATACAGTCGAACCTCCACTAACGGCCACTTTATTTTGTCCCGGCGAGTAGTCCAAACATTGACTCTTTTTTATACCTCTCTACAACGGCAACGGCCACTGACGCGTGTCACCAACTGCTAAATACCCTCTCGACAAGTCAGCGACTGATTAAAAAGTCAAGAATGGTCATAAAATTTGATCCGTGTGGCACGTCGATGTGGGTAATCGTATTTTGATTTTGTTTCATCTATACTGTTGCAATAATTTGTGTACGATACTTATTGCGAATGTTTTTGTGTATCTTATCTCTCTATATTATTTATGACTGGATTACCATTATGTGACTCAGTAACCATGACATTAGCACGATAAACGTGTTATACTCCTTCCAAAAAAATTGGCATGTTACTCCCCCGCTACCTCCCCATAACGGCTGCCTCTCCACAACGGCCACTTTCTTCTGTCCCCAAGGTAGCCTTTGTGGAGAGGTTCGACTGTATATTTGCTGTGTTCTCTGGACATATTTCTCTGAGTTCCTAGTCATCATATGGACACCAGCAGCCTTGAGGAGACAAACCGAAGCGATATTTCATTATGCCGCCTCCAACGAAATTTTATTGGCCTGTGTCATTGCACCCATTACCTTAACGGCTTTCTTTTTTTATCCATTTTAACAATGATGATTCATTTACGTTGTTACAGAGCGTGGCCAGATTTCAGACGAGTCAACCAGAAATGGAAGAGCGTTGTAGAACCATTGTTTCAGATCCTGAAAGGCAAGGAAATTGTCTACACCAAAGTCAATGGGGGAAAATGGCTTCTTGTTGAAAATGCAATTTTCAACCAGGTACCTGAAAAACATCTTAAAGAGCTACTTGAAAGTGTCTTACTTGCAGCAAATGTTCCAGTTGTCTCTGTACAAAGCCACGTTATAGATGCCATCAGCTCTTTTACCGACGCTAAGGATATCAAGAATATCACAGCTAGCGTCATGAGAAAAGAGATGAGGAACGCTTCAGCTTGTTACAAAAACCTTTTGAGGCATGAAAAACTGCAGCTTCTTCAGTTCTGTTTACAAGATCACCAATATGAAGACCTTTGCGGCCTGGAGCTTTTGCCTCTCTCCAATGACATATTTACCACATTTTCAGCCCTTGCCCATGAAATCTACATAAGCTCGCCTGAGCATTCTCAAGATCTTCTACCTGGCCTAGAGCACCGCTTCTTGGATAGAACGGTGGATTCAGACATCCGTCAAAAGCTGAATTGCGCAGTCAGACAAGGTCAGTCAAAGTACAAGGTAGCACTGCTTGGAGACTCCTCTTTGTCGATGACACCGTTTACTGAGGGAAAATTTTTCAGGATTTATCATAAGTGCAAAATTTCATGCCCTAGTCATCCCGCCTGCCTTAATTCTTGGCGCTAATTTTCTGGTTTTAAATCGGATTTAAAAATACTAGGTTATCCTTTGGCGACTCCTTTTTATCCCGTTGAACAATGTAGTAATTAGAACATTTGAGTTTGGAAATGATTAATCTCCTTCATAACCGCACTAGCTTAATCTCATTAAATGCATATATAGTCCGGATGATTGATACATTGTGTACCAAGCTACCAGTACCAATTTGGTTATTAACAACGCCATGATATTATCTTTTAGTAGTTTTTTTTTTGTTTCGTGGTGACATACAAGAATGTCAATGCCCATCGTTTCAATGATTCAGAAGCTGTGTCTTGTTAATAGTTATCTTAATTCAAAGGGAGTACCTGACAACAGTAGACAATTTTGACAGCGGCAGGCACTCCCTCTTTACGCTAATGATTTTCTTTCATAGAATGCACCCAGCTACGACTTCTCGCCGAAAACGACGTGATAGTTCTTCTTAAAGAATCTCTGCCTTCCAACTGGAGTCAAGGAAAAACTGTCCTGTGGCACCCAGAAGACAAAAACCACAACCATCCCCCAAGAGACTGGATCAAGCTCATTTGGAGATACGTTCGCGACCATTTCTCTACTGCAGAGGGGCTTTACCGACTTCAGAACTTTTCCTTAATTCCGGTTAGCATGAAACAGTCAACTGTTACTTTGCGGCCACTTACTCAGCCTTCCACAGTCGTGGTTAAAAGCTTGGGTGGGAACGTTATCAATGATGCTTTGATGCATGTCTTGACAAAGATGGGCGGGACTGTCTTGACTGATTGTCCGGACTTTATACTTGATCACCCCTCTGTCTTGGATACTTTTATGCATCGTCCCAATGTCCGAGGTATTTTTGAGACAATAGTGAACTTAGACTCCAAGTTCACCACTAAAAAGTTGTCCGAAGTCGTGAGAGGGGTTTCTCCAGGAGAAAAGCGAAGTTTGAGATCGTTCCTTGCTAATATTAAACCAGGGCAGGTAGGAAAAAAAGAAAGCAATCTCATGTGCTCTCTTCCGATTTTTGAGACGTTCTCCAAAAGGTTTGTGTCCAAAAATGAAGGTCTGCCAGCAGCGGGTATCGAATCTCTTCCCATTCAACCAAGACAGGAACTCATTGATATTTCTCAAGAAGAATCTAGGAGTCTAGCTCTCCTTCTTGAAGTCCGGATTCTGAAACCAACAGAAGTGCTCTGCGAAACAGTATTTCCTGACATCCAAAACGGCAAGTATAATGGTGGGCAGATTGACAAGTTAATGTCCTATGTGCTCACGCATTTTGCAAACACCGTTCGTTCCGATGCTTTCTTCAAGCGGGATATGCAAGCGTTGCCATTCTTGCCAAAGGCAAATAAGAGTCCTCGGGTGAAGACATCAGATGTCTTTGATCCCAGAAATGAGAGCTTAAGGAAAATATTTGTCACCGAAAATGTTTTTCCCGTCGGCCAGTTGTATAACGATCCCATCGTCCTAAATGTTTTGGAAGAAATTGGAATGAAAAACGAATCCAATATCACAGTGAAAGATCTCTTTCGAAGCGCTTTAAAAGTTAGTGTGCTTTCAGACCCTTCAACAGCAAGAGAAAAGTCTCATGCAATTTTGCAGCATCTTGAACGTCATCCACAGAAACTTAAAAGCAAAATTGATGGAGAAGAGTTGGGATCGCTACTGATGAAAATCCATTGGCTGCTACGGTTGCCCCAGAAAACGTCAAACTTTCCGCCCTCACTCCCGTGGTTTGAAACAGGAAAAGGAGAAAGATCCTTTTTCAAGCCTTCTGAACTGAAGAGCCCTCAACTGATCAATCTCATCGGCACGGTTAAACCGGTCATAGACTTTGAGTACTCGACTGAAGTCGCGGGATACTTTGGCTGGCTGAAGAAACCAGACGTCTCTGATGTAGTTAAGCATTTGCAGAAGGCAGTCAGGCATTACAATGAGGAAGAGAAGGCGTATTACAGGGTTTTGGTAAACGAAGTCTATTCGTTTTTGAGCAGTGCAAACTATGGTGAAGTCTCAGAAGCACTAGAATATTCACAGTTCAACTGGGTGTGGAATGGAGACGGCTTTTCCTCCCCTAGCCACGTGCTTGCCATTGATCCGGGCATTAACCTCGCACCCTTCATTCGCATTCTTCCTCCAGAGATGATGAAACACTCTCAGATGTTCTCCAACTTTGGCATGCGGACAAAAAGTGATCCATCTCTTCTATTGCAAGTTCTTGACTTGATAAAAGACAAGTACGATGATTGTAATTCCCCATTTGCAGCCTCTGAAGTAAAACACGATCTCCAGTTATCGGTCGACATTTTGAACGAGTTGGCAAGTAAGGAATTATCGCCTGAGGTCCAGAAAAGGATTCTTCTTCCTGTCCGTGTAAAGGACAAATTGAAAGTTCAGCTTGCACCAGTCGAGCACTGCATGTACAATGATCAAAAAGAGGGGCTTCACAGTGAAGGCGAGAATGGAGAGCCAAAATACTATTACGTGCATTCTAATGTACCTAACGACACTGCTGTTCGACTTGGTGTACCATCGTTAACACATAGACTGTTGGACCCTGATGAGCTATCCATTGAAGAAGAGTTTGGACAGGAGGAGAAGCTTACTACTCGATTGAATCGACTTCTAGAAGACTGCAATGATGGTCTTTCAGTTTTAACAGAGCTCGTGAAAATCGCAGATGCTGCTGGAGCCACTGAGGTTAAATTCATGTACGACGAAAGAACCAACAAGGATGCTATGACCTGTCTCATTAACGAGGGAATGAAAAAATGCCAAGGTCCTGCTCTCTGGGTTTACAGCGATGCAACATTCAAGGATGAGGATTTTGTTAACATCACAAAGCTTAATGAAGCAACCAAAGTGCATTACACTGAGAAGATCGGTAGATTTGGACTTGGTTTCAACGCAGTGTATAACATTACTGATGTGCCAATGTTTGTAAGTAAGAACTATTTTTTCGTACTTGATCCTAACACATCTCACCTGGGAACTGCTATCAAGGACACAAGAAAGCCAGGTATGAAGATTAATCTCAACAAAAACGTCAGAAACCTGCAGACCTTTAAAAATCAGTTTAAACCATTCAATGGCGTATTTGGCTGTGATTTGAGTCATGACAGGGAAGACTACTCGTACGATGGTACGCTTTTCAGATTGCCATTGAGAACAAGGGAACAGGCAGCAGTCAGTGAGCTCATAGAAAAGTTTTACGACGAACACGAAATAAGGAAACTGTTTGAAATGTTTCTCGAGAAAGCGAACACTGTTCTTCTTTTTACGCAAAACGTATTCCGCGTTGGAATGTACTTTTTACCAAAATCTTCAGAACAGAATATACAACCGTTGCTAATGTTTCAGGTCAACAAATCACTCGCCCAAGGAGGAATACTGAGAGAACTGTCTTTCCCTATCGCACTAGCAGACACTTCGAACAAACTAAGTGCAGAACAGAAGAAGTTGTTGGTGCATTCTAATTTTCTTCAAGCATCATCCAAGGTTAAAATACTTTCCAACAGCAGAAGAGTCAAACCAAGTGAATTCCCTGAATCATCCATTGTCGTTGATGTGGAATGCGTTTTAACTCAGTTTGGAGTCAGTTTTTTTCAAAAAGAGAAGCCCCCTGGAAGAAAACGTGAAAGCTGGTTGATCGTGTCCTCAATGGGGTGTGGAGAGTCTTTGAAGTTTTCTGAAGGCAATCCTAATCTTCTTCCGTCCGGGGGGGTAGCTGCTCAGCTATTTAGTTTGGATTGCAACACCTTTTTGCCCACATCAGCAAAGAATGGAACGGTTTTCTGCTCTCTTCCACTACCGATTCACAGTGGCCTGCCAGTTTGCATAAATGGTGAATTTGCAGTAGATTCTAAGAGGCGTCGTTTGCAGGGCAAACTTGAAGAGGACAAGACATGCTATGGCGAGGAATGGAATAATGTTCTAATGACTGATTCCATATCTACTGCTTATCTGTGCCTCCTTGAGGACCTTAAGAAAATTCTCCCTGAAGACGGATCTTATGTTTTCCATTCACTGTGGCCGAGGGCTTCTGACGTAAGCGAACAATGCTGGTCTATTACAGAGTCATTCTACAAGCAAATTGCTTATGGATCTCATGCTCTGTTTTCCAATGGAAAAAAATGGGTTGACATTACTCGAGTGGTTTTTCTCCATCCAGAACTTCGAATGGATCCTAAAATTGGAGAAATTTCGTTTGCTGTCTTTTGTAACTTCCCTGAAGGAAATGACGTGGTGATTGATTTGCCAGCCGAAGTATTCCAGTCTTTTGAACGGTGTGATCTGTTTAATGTGTTAAGAGGTAAAACATACGACAGGCTTCGATTTTTCCGTGATGTTTTCTTTCCAAACATTACAAGGGTTACTTCAGACCACCGGGATGTTCTTGTGCTGTATGCACTAAATCAAAACAACGAGGAGTTGGAAGACTTGGTAATAAACAACGCCTGCATTCCAGCTTCACCTGATGGAAAGATTCTCAAGCGGCCGAGACAGTTAGTGCATCCCAACAACGAATCCTCCTCGTTGTTTTTCCCAGACGATGGTAGGTTTCCCTTTGGCGAGGAGAATACATTTGGCAACCCACAAGTTCTTGCCAAACTAGAGGTACTTGGAATGAACTCACACGATCTTCCTTGGGAAGATATTGCAGAAAGAGCAGAGAGTATCCAACGCGTTCATTCAGTGGACAGTAACGCGGCAGTTAAGCGTGCTAAGTTTTTGATAGAATTCGTACAAAAGAAGTTAAAGGTGAAAGACAAAGGCCCCTCGGAAGGAGTCATTTCTCGCATTGTCAAGGCTGAGTTTCTCCCAGTACTAGAGAGACCGAAATCATTTCCCCTTCGCTGGAAAAGCGAAGATTATCGAATATCTCGAAGGCTTTTCGCATCCCCGAAGGACGTCTTTCTTCCTTCCGACAAATACCTGGTGTGTTGTACGGAGTTAGTTGTCGACCTAGACATCCCCAAGAGGGCGACAGAATTGCTAAGATTACTCGAAAAAAGAGTTACTACAGAGCACGTGATGAAACAACTAAGCGAAGCCATTTCCGCCAGCATTGGTACAATGGATCGTAAAAGTTTAGACGAAGTGAGCTGCGTTTGCACAGAGGCGTATTCTTTTCTACAAGAAAATATTGCCAACTGTACGTCATCCGTTGAAGAATTCCTTTCTACGAAGCCGTTCATTTTAGTTGGAAGGCGCTTTCTGTCCGCAGATGAGGTCGCCTTTGAGTTGAAGACCGATTGTTCCCCTTTCCTTAATAAACTTCCAGAAACTTTATCCGATTCTTACGCCAAACTCCTGAGATTCAGTGGTGTTAGAGAGCAATTCGAAGCGAAGGACTACATTTCAGGTCTTCTAAAAATGAAACAACAGTTTGCAGAAACACAACTCGATGAGAAAACCTTGCAAGTGGCAGTCAATATGGCTATCGAACTTGGGGAGACTGTGAGACATTGTAATGAAGAATGGTATTCCGAGGAAGGAAGCTCGACTTATATTTATCTTCCTGATTCTGGTGGGAGAATGCTTGCAGTAGCTGACCTTTGCTACAAGGATTGTCTCTGGATGCCTGATGATCCAGAGGAACAGTTCGTTTATGAAGAAATTCCCTGGTCGACCTGTGAACAACTGGGAGTTAAAACACGCCGAGAAAGGGTCTTGCAACAACACGATAGTGGCTTTCCTTTTGGGCAAAAGGAAGAGCTCACAGATCAATTGAAACGGATTTTGACAGGCCACCAAGGCGAGAAAGAGCTTTTAAAACAGCTTCTTCAGAATGCAGATGATGCACAAGCAACCGAAATTTGCTTCATCAAGGATCCTAGACACCACCCTGATGAAAGAGTGTTCCAAGAAAGTTGGAAGTCTCTGCAAGGTCCTGCACTTTGTGTGTATGTCAACAGACCATTTACCAATGGGGACATTAAAGGAATTTGTAACTTTGGCATGGGCAGCAAAGGAGAAGATCCAAACAAGACTGGTCAGTATGGATTCGGGTTTAATGCTGTGTACCACGTGACTGATGTGCCGTCTTTCAGGTCGAAGGGTGAAGAAACTGGAGATGTTTTCTGCGTGTTTGACCCTCACTGCAAGTACGTTCCGTTTGCAAGTGATGCAAAACCAGGAAGAATGTACAGAGACATCCATAGGTTGAAGAAAAAGTTTCCAGATGTTTTTCCCTGTTATCTTGAAGAGTTGTTTGCCATAAAGAATGCAACAATGTTTCGATTTCCGCTGAAGACACAGGAAATGGCTGAAGAATCCAAAATATCAAAGAAACCTGTTTCCGTGCATCAACTCGATGGAATGATGAAAGATCTGAAGATGGAGATGTTCGACGTTCTTCTGTTCGTTAACAATGTGAGCAAGATTAGCATTGCAGAGATAGACAGAAGTGAAAAACTAGCAGAGTTCTACTCCGTTGAAGTTGTTATGACTCAAGAAGATGAGAGGATAAGGCAATGTTTCGCTGATTACATGAATCAAGTTGGAACGCAATCCAAACACGACGATTTCCTCCCTACAAGTATACAACCGAAAAAGTGCATTTATACCATGACACTTCGTGACAGCGCTGGTGAGGAGGAGACTTGGTTGATTGTTCAACAGGTCGGCTTTGAGAAGCCTGTCGAAAAGAGTATTGTTGAAGCTTTCAGAGAGAAAAACCTTGGGATGTTACCTCGCGGTGGTGTGGCTTGCCTTTTAAGCAGCAGCAGGTCATCTGGGCAGCGAAAAGATAACGAAGGTAAAGCGTACTGCTTTCTTCCACTACCCTTCAGAACCAATTTGCCCGTTTATATCAATGGTCACTTTGCTTTGGACCATGAGGCCAGAAGAAATTTGTGGCAGGATGAAGATGATGGCTATCGGAGTGACTGGAATAAAGCCCTGCTACGAGATGTGATCACCTCCTGCTACCTCACGCTCCTGGACAAGGTACGAGGATACATTCAGCTGCCAGTTGGGAAGGATGTTGCAGGTCAATACTCCACCTTTAGCAAAAGCGAGATCAAGAAAAGGCTAACTTCCTATGAAAGCCTTTTCCCCAGGTACCCCTTTGAAGATTCTCTCTGGAAGGCGTTAGCTGATTCCATGTACCAAGAAATGAGCAAGAAGAAGATGCGCCTAATTCCAGTAGTGAGGTCTTTGAAACAAATGTCAGATGGCCGTGCTAAAAATTTGAAATCAGAAGTAACATGGTTTCCACCGCAAGGCACAGGCAAGAACCAAGTATTCTTCAACAATCTCGAAATCGAAGGCTGCTTTGCTTCACTTTCTCTAAGGCCAAGTATTGAAGAGGAGCAAAGGAGAAAGAAAGAGGAAGCCCGGATTAGGCGAAAACAGCAATTCGAAGAAACGATGCTACGAACTGGGTTCAATTTAGTGACACTATCAATCACCGTCTTCCGTTCATTCAAAGAAGCGGGAGTAGAGGTTTGCTGTCTATGTCCTCTTGTTGTTATGGACTTCTTCAAGTCTTTTAATGATGTAAATTCGCTTTGCAGTATTGGCGAGATCCCGTTTCCTATTGACAAGACTCCATTCAAGGACAAAGGGGCAGTAATTGGCATTCTGAAGTACTGTAGGGCTGATGAACATTTTCTGGAGAATCTCGCGGGTCTTCCATTGCTTCTCACACAAGATAACTACCTACGCGTATTTAGCGAGAAAGAACCTCGGTGTTTGAGTCATTTTTACGATACTTTACCACAATCGCCGTCATTATTTGTGCACAAAAGAGTCCACTGCGAAGTTTTCAACACTGTTGATCTTAAAAGAGCCCCTGTTTTCCGACCCCTGGATGTGCAAATACTCTCGACAAATTTGCACCTTACACTTCCTGAATGCTTCTGTAGCGAGGATCACTATATGAGGTGGTCTCCTGAAGATCCAAAATCTCCTTTGCCGAATCGTCGCTGGATTTACAGAGTCTGGGACTTTTTGGAGAGATTTACCAGCAAAACATTGAGGGAATCCGACGTAACAGATGAAAACAAAACTTCGTTCATTCGTGACCTGCTCAAACCGTTATCTAAATGGAGCATTCTTCCAGCAACAGAGACAAACCAGTTGGTAGATCATTATTTGGTGCCTCTGTCAATGGCGGAGTCGGTTATTGATTATGGTGATTGTAGTCAATCAAGCAAGAAGTTGGTCGTGGCTTTAAAAGGTTTGACATTGCCTGAACTTAACTCAGCTGTGATGGCATCCAACAGCGCTGATGAGTTGTCCTACACGAAGACGGATTCATACATTTTCGCTTGTTGTCTAGTAGCGACTTTGAAGACACCTCATTCGCTTCTAACGACGCTTAATCAGAAACTCAAGAAGAATCCCGACTCTCTTAGTGATAAACTTAAGTGCATGGAAGCTGAAAGCATTCTTAATTACTTTAGCCGCAGTGTCAAGGATTTAGTAGACGACGACAAAGAAACACTAAGGAAGCTTCCTTTCTTTCCACTGGCGGGCGGAAGGCTTGGATTAGTACAGGAAAGAGACGTGTTTGTTCTACCTGCTGAGATCCCCAAGGACGAGATGGATGCTGTGGAATCCAGATTTGGCTGTTTGTTTCTAGAACCTCGTCAAAGTTTGTCGGACTTGTATGAATTCCTCGGATTTCACCAATTACCACCTGCAAATGCATATCTAAAATTCATTTTGAAATGTTTTCAGCATCTTAGTTTAGAGGGAAAATTGGCTCATCTTCGATACCTTCGGGGTTTGGTTTTCACGGCAAGTGTACCAGGGAAGGAAAACAAAGCAATTGAAAAAGAACAACTGCTAGGCTATCTGAAAGTAGTTCCATTTATCCAAGCAGTGGATGGCTTCTGGAAGACAGCGTCTAGTTTCTACGACCCCCGTAATGAAGTTTTCCGTACTATGTTATCAGCGGACAGTTTTCCACCAGAAATTTTCAACACTAACGAATGGCTGCCCTTTTTGGAGAAGATAGGCCTAATTACAGATGTTTCCCAGGACGATTTTGTGAAGTTCGCTCTCCAAGTCGCAAATGAAGCTGAATCAGCACGCACTGAAGAGACCTACAAGAAGTCCGAAGTTCTAGTGAATAACCTTCTCTCCTGGCCTAATGTTGTAGAAAAAGGGCTCTTAACTCGAGTTCGTAGCATTCCTTTTGTGGCATCAGAGCCAGTAAGAGAGTCCCTAGAAGCACTATGTCCACCATTTGGTGAAATGAAGAACGGCAAAATCCCATTTATTCCATTTAGTGGTGCAGTACCAATGGATTATGAAGAAATTGTATGGACCAAAGCGTATTTGCTTCCAGCTTGGGCGGATCCAAGGTTTAGTTACAGAGCCATTGCGAGTGGGGGTCCTCATCAAAAGACAGAAAAGTATCTCGAAAGTTTCCTGGCCCAGCTCAACGTTATTAAGGAGCCATCAATTCGACTTGTCATCGGCCACTGTCAGACGGTAAGTGGCATAGGAGATCTCAGCGATAAGAACCCTTCCACTGTCATACGGGTTATGGAACGCATTTACACATTTCTGCAGCAAAAGGCAGCCAGTGAACCTGATTTGAATATCTTGCTCCAAAGCACACGTTGTATCTTGGTGGAGCGAGGGAAAAGGTTCATCCTTCCTAAACAAGCCGTCCTTGAGCTCTACGAGGATCTTGAGATAAAGCCATTCCTGTACAGAGTACCTCCTGAATTTGGCAAGTTTCAGTCTTTGTTTAAGCTTCTGGGCTGCTCCAAGACTGTAACCTCTGCACACTACGCAATGGTCTTAGAGCTTTTGCAGAAAAAGTGCCAAGAAGCAAAGCTACAGCCACACGAAATCCAAATGTGTTGTAAGGCGGTTAGAGGACTATTTAACAGTTTGCAGGACGATGATGAAAGTGTAAAAACGCTCCCTAAATTGTACCCACCAGCAGTGTATCCAGAATGCGGCTCTCCGATCAAACCACTAGAAGCTAACCCTGTTACTTTGCATCCATCAGAAGAGCTTATATTTGATGACGCTCCAACCTATGGCAGTCGGATTCACGGGATCGACCAGCTGTTCGTGCCTGACCTTAGCCTGATGGAAGTAAACTTAAAATCAGCCATGACGAGCTTTAAAGATCTCATGATGAAATTGCCTTCCTCTTTACAACCACAAATGTTATCGTCAGTGGTGAAAGAGTCGCTCACCTCCCCAGAGAGCCTAGAATTAGTATCAATTGAGGCAGTGAATGCACTGAAACGGCAACTCAAGTCTGTGCAGTTTGGACATGGATTTGCGAGAATCATAAGAGACGCCAATTATCAGAAAAAAGGCTTCGATGAAGGGGTTATAGAAGGTGTTGAAAGCGGACTCCGAAGCATTGAACTCTTATCTGTGAAAAGCCTTAAAACGTCTCTTTATCACAATGACATCCTTATTCCTGAGAGTGAGCAATCAGTGCTATATTTCAAAGAGAAGTTGGAGCTACCTGGCGGGGAAACGTGGAGAGTTTATATCAATGCGCTAACTGGAATAGATGAAACCATTTGGACACTGGTAGCCAATATTATCGTGGGAATGTACGGGGAATTCCTCGGTAAGAATTCCTATGTCATTACCGGTATGTTACTTTGTCCTCCCTCGAGCATCTGGGCACTCTTGGACAAGATGGGTATAAGTAAAGATGACAGTTACGGCGCAGCACAAATGGAAATCTATCCACAACCCGGTACCTATATTCCAGTTGAAGATCAGCATCTGTTGAATGACGCTTTTGAGGAAATTGAACCCGGGCAATACGTAGGTTATCAGCTGAATGACCCAAGTCTACAGGAGGAGGAAGGCTCTGCAATCTACATCTACGCTATTGTTACTGAGAAGGAAGTATCAAACACAGATGCTGAGATATTGTTGAAATCATACAGGATCGACATTGGGCATAACAAGGAGCCAGTTGAGGTCAAGGCTGCTCGCTTGCATACATTTCACCGATTGGAAGAGATATTTAACGAGCAGGAGGAATTACACGAAGATAAAGAAGAAGTGTGTAAAGAGATCTCTGCCACTCTCGAGCTCGCATGGGAACTAGTAGGGGAAGAAAGAGATCAAATTGTCAAGCGTTTGTTTTTGCGTTGGTTTCCAAAGGAGAATGTTCATAATTTGGAGTTGTTCGCAGCGACCTCTGAGCATTTGAGGAAAGAAGTTTCTAGACTCAATGGTTTCAACGATTCTTTGTTTGCTTCATGGGTAGCCCTTGTAAGAGAACGAGAATATCAGAGAGAAACTTACCGAGAAAACTTCCGCAAAAAGTACGGTTCATGGAAGTCTTCATCAGGCCGTAGGTCAGGATACAGTTTTCCTCCAAGTTTCTGTCATCAAAATTCTCAGCCAGCAGAGGCCAAGCGCTGGTTCAGACAAGCTAAAGCTGATCTTGAGGCTGGCACCAGGGAATTCTCCTTCGGCAGAGATTCATATGAATGGGTTTGCTTTAAATGCTACCAGGTAATCCTGCATTTTATCCTGATATATTTCCAATGTATATTGTTCCAGCCCAGTGCGGTATAAAGAATGTTGAGTTTATTCTACAACCATAAGGGGCGTCTTTTTTGCCGGTAAATCAACAACAAGAATTCCGTCTTTAACTCTTTTAATATTTAAATAAACAGCATCGGAAAACAGCAGTAAAAGTTAAAAACACTTCTTATGCCAAGATATTGACAAACACAATCGAAGTTGACTTTCAAAGGAAATCTTATACCACTTTTGGTTAAGCTAAAGTCGACACTTTTATTAAAGGGACATTGAAAGGTCGCCGAGGGGAAGCAAGTCATTTCTGCTTAAAAATCATACGTTATAGGCTAGGTCATTAGCACACTCCGATCTAATTAGCCAATATTAATGAACTTCCAGAATTTTTCACAGAGGACGTAAGTCTCAATACTAAAAGAGCACAAAGCAAGTAGGTGTGCGATCTTAGGGTTTCTTAAGAACATTTTAAGTTCCTCCAATACGATTAGGGTGCTTTTTTACGCTTTTGGCTTGGAGTTGCATATATGTCCATTGTAGCTCTAAAACACACGGATGGAAGAACCATTTGCTTACAATGGAGTATGCAAAGTTTCATTGTGGCATATCCAATCTCGTGGAAACAACACGAGGAGTCGTTCTTTCCTGGGATCATCAGGTAGCCCCAAACCAAAACATTCTTTCATCTACTATTATTTAATTACGTGTGGTTGTTTATGTCTTTTCAGGCAGCGGAAAAGGCCCTTAAAGCCATGCAATATAATGTGGACGCAAACCAGAAGACGAATGACCACAATTTGTGTCAAAATTGCTATGATTTTGATGACCCTGAATTAACCCAGTTAGCGGGTCAACTGGAATGTCTTGTAGTTAATTCTGCACACATGCGATATCCTGACGCTATGTCATACCCCAAGATACCAAATGACGTGTATACAGCAGAAAAGGCAGAGAAGGCCCTGGACTTAGCAAGAGACATTCTGGAGAGAGTGAAAGTCGAATTGACTTAGTTAAAGGTATGTGTGATATTACTCTCATTTTTTGTAGTCCAGAAATAAGACAATATGGCTTACGGCGAGAATGGAAAGGTTGAAGAAACCAAACTACACCAGCTGATTTCAAGATTCGTTATGAACTCAAAGACTCAAAAGCTCATGGCGGCCTATGAACGACCTCACAGAACATCCTCTGCTAAAGTCACAACAACGGAGTTCCAGTGCCCCATCTGTTTCAGACTCTGCGCTTCCAGACTGGGTTTACAGAGCCACCAGAGAATCCATAGATGATACCACATCACACAGTCTTCTTATACGAAGGACAACCACCATGCCATGTATGAACACAGTTAAGGTGGCTCAATAGGGTTTTTCAGGATTAATACCTCCCAAGTTGGAACTTTTTCCTCCAATAGCCGCCTCGATGTTCGTGACCTTTGAAGGAAATCTGTAAGAGTGTGAACGAGATATTTTGGGATGAAGTCTTTGAGGACATAATTACGGTAAAAACTGGACAATCTTAATGTTTGGCCGTTATCTGTAGAAAACGAAGCGCTTTTGAGATGCAATTTCACCTCATAATAGTTTCAATCTTTTTTAAAACGAGTGTAAAAGATCATGGAGATAGCTCTAGCCGATTGCTAGAAAGAAGGATTTGATTAGTATGTATCGAGGCGCTCTTGTTTAAGGTTTTCAAATGAGCAAATAATTTTTAAACCACTCGATAGATTGAGATTTTTGAGATCAACCGTCGTTTTATATGACCTTTGAGTTTCAAGATTATTGATATATTGTAAGCCAGTAAAATAAGAGTTACAATTCGTTAAGTTTGTGTCAGAAAATTCTTGTTTATAAGTGAGAACCTCTCACTGTTCAGGGGTATTGTCTCCAAGTTTCATATTTTCGTAGACAACAATATCTAACATTTCTGCATATTTCCAATGCATTGCTACTTACTGCTGTTCACGTGAAAATGAAACTTGGAAACCATATCAAAGCTCTTCGTTTGCTACAGATTACGGCCGAACATGGCATTCGATTGATTCGAGTTACCCTTACGTCTCACAAATTTCAGCAAACTAATAACTTTGATGTTAAGGCTTTTCATTTATCTTCACATTTTATGAACCGGGGTGACCTCACTATTTCCCACTGAAAGAGAGTGAGAGGGCGTCTTATCAGAGGCGGTGGCTTATCATAGGGATTTCTTGCTCTAACTCGACTGGACCTGTGAAACGCGGTATATCGATGGGCTACATTGCCAAGCTTTAAGAGTTCATGCCATTACATTGTAATTCGTGTCGTTCTACCTCATCAAAAAAATATCCAGTTTCTTCAAACGTTTGGAAAAATATTCATTTCAGAAATATTGATGTGAAGCATTTTCTTTTCTTTTTCAGTATTCTTCTATCCTTGAAAGATGAGTTGCGAATCAGACCACATTTAAAGTAGAGTGGCTCTGCAGTTCCATTCGATCTTAGAAGAAGTTAGACTAATTTTTGCCAGTAGAGAAAATTATGCTCGAGTTTAGTAGTCTCATTGCAATGCCAGCTTAAGGCCCGTCCACAGTATTTCCAGATCATTTTTAAATACATTTCCCACTTTTGCATACAGACCACACTAAAAAGGTGTTTTTGTCCACCGAAAGATAATCTTCAGATTGGAAGAATAGCCGGTGTTTTCAGTGAAAACACCGGCTAGGTGATGTAGGATGCGTGGATCGTCGAGAACGCTGGCGTTAAAATTAAATGGCCATATGTTATTGCCTTGCTGGCGTGTTTTAAGGTAACGTTTGTTTACAATTCTATTCAAGCCGAGTGTCGAGGAATCGTCTCGTTTTTGAAGTTTTCCGGATCACTGTGGACGGTATAAAGCAATGAAATGATATACAAACGATAGTGCATTTTACTTGTTTTCAAATTCATTCGACTTGTGGATGGGGCTTATACATTGGGTATGGCTTATACATATATGGGCCGCTGCATGTTAGATATGAACTTTGAAGCTGGTGAAGTACAGCTAATAGCAACGTAGAGGATATTAGTTCGTTTCAGTTTTGCAAAAAATCAGTTTGCATAGTCTTATCATTTACAAAGGTGACACGAGTAACAAACGTTTCTTGTGTTATGTTGCTTTTTTAACACTTTTTTTAAAATTTAAATTCTTTTTGTCTGTAATTTCGATTTCTTTAGGCTCAGGAACAAATCTATAGTTTCTTGCACCATCAAGAAATAATTTTCAATGGTTTTTAGAGGGTTTACCTAGAGTACCAAACACTCAAGAGTTTGTTTGTTCGTGTTTTGATTTAGTAACGTACATGTACACTGACGTCGTTACTCATGAGGCGCAACGCACGGAAAACCTGATTCTGTGGTCCAAAGGGACATACATCTCGTTGGAAGCCGTCATGTCAATATTTGACAGTTTTTTAGTTTTTTGATTCGAAAACTGTTGTGAATATGCTTAAGATTAACGAAATTAAACAACTGAGTTTAGTGGGAGTGTTTCTTTGTTTTGTTTTGTTTTTTTGCTTTTTATTTCTATCAGACAAGTGCATGACTTGTGCATGACTAGGGTCACTAGTTATTCAGTTGAAGTATCCCGTGTTACCCTCGTTAAATAAAGTTGATTATTATTATTATTATTATTATTATTATTATTGTTATTATTATTGATGACCTCTAAAAATTTGAGGAATGAAAGGCTATATTTGTTCGTACTATACAGGATAGCTTTATTTCCATGCCGAAACGAAAAGCTATCTGGTATAGTATGAACACCTATCCGATATGTGACTCACCACTTAAGAGATCGGCGCATTTTCGCTCCGTTATAGAAATCGCCTTGAAATCACCGTTCTTAACAGCCTCGTACCCAGGCCTGTTCGCGCTATCCGAGTGACCAGAGGAGGCTTGGAACCGAGCGCGATAGCGCGAGACGTCCTAGGCGAATTTTCCCGACAAGCTTGACAGGTGACGTCACATCCGAAATCGCCGAGGACGACTGGGAACGAGGCTGCGTTCTTATGTGTGAACAGAAGCCCTATCCGGTATTTTCGTGTATTTTTTGGCATTTTCGTATTTCCGGCGCAAAAGCTTTCCGGTATAATGTCAACATAGCCTGAGGACCAGTTAAGATTAGGCGATCACCGTCTGTGGCTTGTTTTAAACCAGCTTAGTAATAGAACCTATCTGCAACAAGAAGCCCTATCCAGTATGGTTTTGGTGCCGGCGGGAAAGTTATGCGGTATAGTGTCAAAGTGTGAACATAACCTAAGCTATAAGAAGCTGAGGTGGGAGAAAATATGAAAATGTAACAAAATGTCGTAAACTCCTAGTCCAAATATTGTAGATGTTTAAGACCAAGAAAATTATAAAAATGAGTTTTGGGAGTGTTTTTTTTTGCTTTTGGATTCTATCTGACGAATGGTTGATGACCTCTTTAAGTAAGGGGTTTTTGAGACGCGGGTTTTCCCTGTTCATTAACCCAACAGCTTTGCCACGCTGGTGGGCCCCAATAAGGGTGAAGCAGCTGTCTGAGGCCCCGCGCATGCGTGATGTAATGGCCCGGCCGTGGGTTGGTGTTTGTGTGCCCTTGCTTTACATTTGCAATATTTTCAATGCAATCGAATTAAGTTCAATCCATTTTTCATCAATTACTGTATTTCATAACATTTCTAAAAAATCGGTTGCGTAGCTGAGGTCTATTCTGGGCAGAGCTTGTTTTTCTTTATCTCTTCTGTTCTGTTCTTTTCTCCTTTTAGAGCTATTGTAGTTTGTTTTGTTTCTTTATATAGCATGAGTTTGCATGAATTGATTTTCTTTGGATTTTTCGTCCCATGAATTTGTGTATGGATATTTTTTGCCCCGCCCCGTGACGGTAACATGATCCAAAAGGAAACATGATCATTCCCAGTGCTTCTCGGTTGTCCTTTCGGTGTAACCTTTACAAAATCAGAGTGGAAGCAGTTTTGTTTGCGCTATAATTTCCCGTTACAACCATGTTTACATACTCTCATGGAAACACGCCTCTCGGCAATCAGAGCGTGCGTACTATCTTAGATATTTTATAAATAAGATAAGGCAAAGTTTTACTTCATTACACTGTACTGTAATTACAATTTTTTGGGTGCCCTGTGATTACAGTTGTAGCGCCGGCTGGAACAAGAAACGGTTGTGAAGATGTCAAAAAGCTATTTAAAATACTGTACTACCTTCCGTTCAGCCTGACCCTTGTGTCATTTTCTTAGAATATTTAGCTACGAAAAAATTTCGCCACATGAGTTAAGATAGTTGCTAAGGATGATGGGTATTGTGGGTTTTTCTAAGGAATCCAGCATTGGTCACGTGATATCGTGTGATTCTTGAGTTTATAAGAGCGCAGGAAACTTCACACCGATGTATGAAACAAGGGAAAGATCGAAAAGGTAAGACTGTAATGTTACAATAACGCTTTTAAAAGGTGTATAACGTAACAATAACTTGTACATTTTCGGATTTTCATTCAGATAAATTTACCGCGAACTTGATCTTAGCCGGCGTGGCTTCAAGTGGTTTTCTGGTTGCCCTCAACGGGAGAGTTGAAAAAACTGACCCCCACTCCGCGGACTACCCACTGACCCCACTCCGCGGACTACTCTACGGACTACTCCGCGGACTACTCTACGGACTAGTCCGCGGACTACCATGCGGACTACCCTAACTAATCAACCAAATTTACTTTCACGGAGAAAAGAGTTAGAAGAAGCGTACCTGCCTACAAGATCACACTTGATAAACAGCCGCCATCTTGATTTTCGCCATTTTACTCGACCCAGCCCTTCTTCTTCATTGCTACGTCCATTGCAGCTTCCGTTCTTGGATCGTCACGCAACGCTTCTCTCCAAACCTCGCGTGACGATCCAAATAACGACTGCGTGCCCTACGTAGGAGAATACGTCTCCAAGGGCCTTGTGGGCCAGGTGAATCCAAAAATATGGTGACTTCCAAGCACGGCTATAAGTAAGTTCTTAAAAACATTTTTAAGCTGAATATAACAAAAACTGTTACCAGCGCCAATAGTGGTCATCGATTGGCTGAACGGCGTGCTCTGACTTGTGGCCGATGAAGACTGGGGCGAGGCTAAAGGAGAGCTGGGTCGAGTAAAATGGCGAAAATCAAGATGGCGGCTGTTTATCAAGTGTGATCTTGTAGGCAGGTACGCTTCTTCTAACTCTTTTCTCCGTGAAAGTAAATTTGGTTGATTAGTTAGGGTAGTCCGCATGGTAGTCCGCGGAGTAGTCCGTAGAGTAGTCCGCGGAGTAGTCCGTAGAGTAGTCCGCGGAGTGGGGTCAGTGGGTAGTCCGCGGAGTGGGGGTCAGTTTTTTCAACTCTCCCGCCCTCAACTGTACACAACGCATGTTGGTCGAAGAAAAGTAACAAATTTTATCTCAAGCTAGTTACTTAGGTACGCTAACTTAACCACTTACTTTGGAAATTCGTTAAACAGCAGTTTTCGTTTACGTCGTTGCTCATGTAACTAACTTCGGTACCAACCGGGGCCATGCCGGAACGGCGGAAGTTTACTTTCTGCAAAGCCTGAATTTTCTTACGAAGCGTGTAACTCATTTACCTTTCAGCTAAATAAATAATTTAATGAGACTGGAATACTTTTGAACAAAATGACTCTTTCGGCTACGTTTAGAACTATGCGACGGCAAATCCCAGTGGCACGCAGGAATGTTTATCCATGATTTCCTGAAAATGATTTGTTAACCATTAAGTTTAAATATTAATACACATCACTTTTCACTAATCCCAATGCTGTTTCAACTCTGTCTCCGAGTCTGTGGCTTCGCAGAAGAAAAGTAATGCATTGATGACTGTGACTAATTTTTATTGCTCCCGGGCAAAAATGTCTAAAAATATTAAATTAACATTGGTGAAACTCCAGTGCTGAAAATATATACTATTTTTTTGTTTTTTCCAAGGAATATTACTTGCCCAAAAAATTAACACGAGATGGCTTTATGAAAGACAGTGGAGTTACTTCCTGCATAGATTCAACGGTGTAAAGAGTGAGTGTTGAATTACACAATCCCATATGACCTGGCTGTTATAATTATGTGTCTTTTTTGTTCTGTTAGTTTTATAAAACAAGAACCACTAGTTTATCGAACGACTGCTATTGTCGGTTGGCTTAAAGTATCGGTGAAATTGAAGCTTTGAAGAATTGATATGCCTTTGCCTTCCCTTGGTTAAGGGGAATTTGATAATATATGATGGACTTAATTGCCTTGACCTCTTGTGCTCGTCCTTGCACAAGGCATGGCAAAACATGAAAGTCATTGCAGAGGCACTCTTGACAAATTTTGAAAGATTTGTGGCTTAATTGTTGCAGATAACAGCTGTATGTGGCTTGGCCCTAGGTGAATTTGAACTCTGTTTTTCCCAAAATTCTAGTGCCTGAGCTGTGGGGTTGCCAGGAGGAGGAGTTTAAGTTGACCAATAATATTAATACGATATCTACCCTGGATTGGGTACTTCCTTAATATATAAGCCATAAAGATATGTGCCGCTCCAAACGGTATGGTTTTTGTGGCTTTTCAGTCTAAAAAAGGGTATACTCTTTGCCCATTTAGGTCTTGAATCAGGCGTGGAGTGTATACGTATTTGTCATTTCAATTCCAAATGAATAACAAAGAGAGGTACGAGAATTTGGAAAGCATTTTAAGAATTTAAGTATGATGTGATAATTTCTGCCTATGAGGCCAGATCTGAAAATGGATGTGATTTAAGAGGCCGGGTCTGAAAATGGGTGTGAAAAATGACACTTTTTGGTTTGAAATATGGTCAGGATTTGAAGAGTCAGGCGGCACACCCCCACTAAGAATTCTCAGGGGTACTAACCCCGGGGATGTATATCAGATTTTTAATAATACACATAAACGTAAAAAACATCTATTTGGTATTTATTTTACCTATATTAGCATTTAATTGGCTGGAGTCCCAGGGGGAGAGGGAAGGGGGCTGCTCTAGATTTCAAGTGATGGGGATGATCACTGGAATTTTTTGGGTTTGAAATTCTCCATTCCAGGATTTTTTTGGGTAGGAAAATGTGGCAAGAATGTTTTTGTATATTTGTGGGGATTTTCTGGGTATTTAAAACAATCTGAAGATTTGTGGTAGTGCCCATGTATCCTGGCTGTTCTGTGAATAGAGTACAACCAAATAAAGTACAACATATTATATCATTAATTTTGTATTTAATGCTTTAATGAAAATTTCAGAAATTCGGCATGGGATTGTTTTGGAGTCTGTAAATTTTCGGTTCTGGGTTTTTTCTGGGTTTTTCTTTTCGCCCCCATTCGATTATCCCCGTCACTTGAAATCCCAGTACCCCCCCCCCCCCCCCC